CCCCCCCCCCCCCCCCTCACATCTCTCTCTAGTTTAGTATACTCTGTTCTGGTGTTGTCTGTGTGGTGCAAGTATGTCGCCAACAAACCCCGTGGCGCCCCCGGCCAGGACGGGCCTGGTGGTCTCCCCTCATCTTTCGACGACTGATCCTTGTTTTTTGTTGTTTGTTTTGCCGTTCCGCCTCGTGCGTGCGTACGGGTTGCCGTGCCAGACTTCCCCTGGACAATTGGAATACCTCCCCGGCCTCTTGGTCGTCTCCCGGCGCCTCTCGTACAAGAGGCAGCGGCGGAGGCTCCCACCCCATGCACCCGAACGCGAGCCAACGGCCGCAGCTACGCGAGCAGCTGCAGCTGCAGCAGTATCGTTGAGCAGAACGCCACATAATACTCATGATAGCGCGAAAGCCGTTGCCGAGGGGTCGCTTGCCGTAGTGTTTCAACGTTTCAGTTAAGAACCTGTATTTCGTGGTTTCTACTACAACGTTAGATCGAGTACATGAACACACAACTCATGCGTTCGCATGAAAAAACACCGGAGATACATAGATCTTGCATACGAGCTTGGCCAATTGCATTTGGAACAGCAGCAGCAAAGAAGGGTCCTACTGTACCAAGGACTGATTTGTTCTGTGTCCAAGTAACGACGGAACACGGTGTTACCGTCCTTCAAGAAGAGCAGTAGAGTGCATTGAAAGATCTTGGATAGGGTATGGTGTGAAAGGGGTCACCTCCCCCCCGCTTGCGCGCCCCTCTTCCACATAGTACACTTAAGAAGCGACAGAACTTGTGTTTGTTTTGTCTCGATTGGAAAAGGGCTACAATACGGCTGGCGGCCTCACATGTGAAATAGAATAGCACGGGCTATCGATGTGGTCTAGAGATAGCTGCATCCACCAAGCTCAGGTTGTGTTCGAAACTCCGAACAAAAAGAGCAAATGTTGATTGTATTGCGAGCTCAGAGTGGGGCATCAACTCCACGAATTTGCTCTTATTCATGTGCAAGAAGGTCTAGTACAGTCACAATCAGTGCCCTCGCAGGCCGTCCTCTTCGTCAAACACATGTACGCTGTGAATCGCCAAACAAACACATGATACCACTGGGACCCTGGGAGCAGCAGTTGTCCAGGCGTTCAAAAAAGAAGCAAAAGGAGCCAAGCCGCACACGCGCCCCCGTGGCCAGTATCTGGCTCGCCCTTCCGCCACAACATCGATCGCAGAGCAACCAATTTCTGAAGGCAAATGGTTTGATGAACACAGCACGCATGCGATATGTACTACTATAAATAAATGTGTGCATACATGCGCATACCTATTTTTTTTTTTACATTCTAGGCGGCCAACGTGATCTCTATCAGCGGAAGCGGTGGCGAGTCAATCCATGCGACCATACAAACTGTAGGCGACCCATGACCATGTCCTATCGCCACCACTACCGTACATGCAATACCTCACAAGTTTATATCCCCCCCTTCACAGAACCAATACCCCGACGGCACAATCCGATAACAATGAATGACACACGAGAGACAACCTCGAGCCACCTCGATATCCGCCAAGTCGAGCCATGTCTCTCCAAGCTCGTCGGGGGGCGCCCCCCCCCCCCCTCTTTTTCACGAACCAATCAACCGGGGCCAGGTGCATGCCTGAATGTGTCGTATTTACAGAAGGAAGACGTCCGTCTTCGGCGCCTATTCGACAATGGGGAGAGGCACGCAACGGAAGAGTGCAGGAAGTAGTAGTGAGAACACAAAGAGCAAAATGAGATGGTTATGGCACGACGCACTACACGCGAAAGTTGGACGAAAAAAAGTCGGGTCCTCGCGGGATGCCCCTGCCACAGTGTGTACCCGCTGACCAAAGTCGAGAGGACGGTAACCTGTCCCCTATTGAACGCATACACGCGGCGGAAGCACACAGCACGTGCCATGCAACCTTGAGTTCCCGAAATGTGGTGACGAATCGCATCGTGGAGGCAAGACGCGCACCCCTGAAAAATGATGAGAAACGTTTCGCATCAGCAAGCGAGCCATCCCTCACGGCCGTACACGAGTTCACGCATGTAGCAATTTGCACTGCAGTATCGTCCTGTTGGCCGTCTGGGAAGGGAAACGTCTTCCACCCTTTTCAGGGGTAGGTCCTGGCTCACCTGCCGAATGACTTCACGCTCCGCAAGGACAACGATCTTGCCGCACAATTCGGGGCATGACTCCCGACAAATTTGTTCCACACTGAAGATGGTCACAACGTCGACGCGGTCGGTCGTAGACGCAACCGATTTAGTTGGCGTGAGTGTCGCACGCAATCGGGGAAGTTGGGTTAGGGAGGGATAGGGTGTGCGTGTCCCCGCTCTGTTCTTTTTCCTCATAAGCTTGTTTCTCGCGAAGGAGGTCCGCGCACATGGTGGGGTACAGGTACACAAACCTATGTGCCCTTCTGCGGTTCGTGCACTATCATGTTCGACAAGGAAACTGCTACCGAGCAGGGGAAGAGAAGCTGCCCACGAACCAAGTTCGATAGAAGGAAAACAATAATTATTTGACCTCAGTCCCCGGCTACATCACGGACCGTGCCTCTTTGTCCCAACCGGCGCATTCCAGCCGCTGGCTTCTCACCCCTTCGTACGAAGACCTTTGTCCACGAACAGCTCGAGAGGAAGAGGCATGCCTGTGAGATCGTCCGTGAGGATGTCCTTGATGCCGATAGTTCGAACCCTGAGCTTCTCGAGAACTCCTGTCGAGCCACACCGACCACAGCGCGCACACATCGCGAAAAACTACTGTGAATACCGGTGGCACCGACTGGTACAACAACTGACTCCGCGGACAAAACATGCTACAATAGCGATCATTTCATCGTGGGCCAACTGATGCAACAACTTGACATCGGTGTCCGAGGACCGGCAGCACTGGACCTTTCAACACTGCTTGTGCCGGGTCGACTAATCACCAGACCGCTTCGACGGCCGACGCCACCGTGCGTCACGCCCCTCCCCATAGATAGGCCTTCACCTATTATGCATGCATAGCTTTGTGCATAAGTGAGCTCTTTGCGCATAAGAAAAAGCTTAGGTTTGAGCGTGCATAGCTTTTATTTTTTATGCATAATTCTGTGCATAAAAGGGGTTATCGTGCATAAACGGTGATATGCATGCGTTAGATTGGGGTTCAAGGGTGCGCTCAGACGCTCAGACAGCTTGTTTGCCCCCAACGGAGAGCCTTTGAAGGGCTTTTGCCTTCCAAAAGTTACATTAAGGAGAGGTCTTTCTCAATTAACACTAAATAAAGAGGTCGCATATCCCTGCGTGTTTGTCAATTAGACCTTATTTCTGGACGCTGGACGCGGGACAATTAGTCAAATTAGTCGAGATAAAACACATATTGTTTATTGTAGAACAAAGGAGCGGAGAGAGAGGGAAGAAAAAACGAGAAAAAAGAGAGAGGAGAAAGGGTTTAGGGGAAAGCGGAAAGCGAAAGCGGAAAGCAGCACAGCACAGCAGACAGCAGCACGGACCACAGCGTCACAGCGTACCACCGACGACAGACCACAGACCGCAATCCGCGACAACAATGTACAGAGGTGGAGGTCTTGTCTCATATGGCGCCGCATCAGATGGTGAGAGCAGCAGCAGCAGCAGCAGTGGAGAGGAGTGGGTTGAAGCAGAGGGTGGTGTTGTTGAAAACAGTGTGGCGGGTCGACAGTGGGCCGCGCTTTTCTCCGGGCAGAGGAATCGTTCTAAACGGCAGCAGAAGGATAAAAATAGGCGTGNAGTAGCCTAGTGGGAGAAAAGGACGAGTACTACCTCGCCGCGTCCGACGTTGACACAGATTACGACTTGTGGAAATTTTGGCGTGACAACAAGACTAGGCTTCCTCACTGGTACAAAGTTGCGAAGGACATCGCATTGATTCAGCCATCCTCTGCCTTCATGGAACGAGTCTTTTCTATTCTACGTGCGTGCATGGACGAGAGGCAGGAGTCGAGCTTCAGCGACCGCATTGCCGCAGCAGCCCTTCTCAAGTACAACAGAGGGCGGGGAAAGTAGGAGGATGGGAGTACGCGAGTACGTTGTGGTGCAGTGGTGTTGAAACGTATCGTAGTCGCGGGTGGCGGGTGGCGAGTCATGGGGGCTGATTTCTTGCTTTGACGTTCGATTTTATCACCTTGCATGAGGCTCTGAGCACTGAGGTACGGAGCGGAGACAGCCGTCTGCGGCGCCAAGGCGCCATATATTAAACATCGTTTATATAAGTCTTCTTTTCTGGTGTCTGGCGAACAACAACCACGGGGTCACGGGTCACGGGGTGCGAGTGTGTAGTCCCCTGTTCCCTGGACCCACGAGGACTTGTCGGGTGTCGAGATGTCGAAAAGCCGTACACACCTAACCAGCGTCCACACTCTCCTATCTATGTATTTTGACAGTAGTGCATGTCCACAAATCTTACAATCTTGCATAATAATTGGTAATTGGTACATTGGTAGTAGATGGCATCAACTGACCAAGCGCCTGGACGAAGCCAAGCGCCAAGCGCGCCTGCATATGTCGAGTATAGGGACGACAAGAGGCGTGCATAATTGCGAGCATAAACGAGGAATTTTGTGCATAACGGCGTGCATAAGTCGCCAAATTGGGCTTATGCTCGCGGAAAAAAACGTGCATAGAATTTTAAGCAAACGTGCAGAATAGGTGAAGGCCTACCCATAGTCTCACACACACACCCGCCTGGCGACTAGAACACTACGTAGGCACCGTTGCCGTGGTGCTTGTCGGCCAAGAGGCCAATTTCGGTCGAGGCATGACATTCGTGCGACACCAGAGGCACGATGTGCCGCGCGGGCCGGGGTCTGCAAACACGCGCCGATCGTTCCCTCTCCGCCTATGGTCGTGACTCCGACATGATAGGGTACGTCATACGAGGGGGCTCCGATATAAGAGGGTCGAATTCGGTCGTCACGGACTCGACCCGCTTTAGCATAGTATAGTTTGGTACCCTCTTATTCCGGTATACGAGGGGTCTCCGATATACGAGGGTCAAGGGCCTTTGTCACAACACCTATTATATGTGAGCCACGACTGTACCCTCATCCGCCTCTCCTCTCTCGTGCAATATCTAGCTCCCGGATGACGCGTGTTTTACGCGGAGAAAGTGCTCTCACCGTTGGGGTGCTGTTCCACCCGCTGCACGTAAGTGATGGAGGTCATGGCGTCGCCGGGACGGAACGGGTTGATGAAGTTGGCATATATTAGCTCCTCGTGGAGAACCTGGACGAGAGGAATTGAAGGCGAGGGAGGAGGGAATGAGTGCGAGAGAGCGAGAGGGTGTGTGCGTACGAGAGAGAGAGGGAACATGAGCGTACGATAGAGGGAGGAAGAGAACGAGAGAAAGAAAGAGAGAGGGAGAAAGAGAGAAAGAAAGAGAGAGGGAGAACGAGAGAGACAGAGACGGAGAGAAGGCGTGAAAGAGGGGCACGACAGATAGGGAGACGACATACTTCGAGACAAACGTATACTTCGACATTCCAGCTAGGGCTGCCGTGATTCGGTTGGTTCCCACGACCTCGGCGATCGATGCCCTCACCTCATTTTGTACCCATCTTCAACTCTCGACCAAAAGTTGATGCGCTCAAAACGCGCCCACAAAACATAGGAATTGTTTTTGAGCGCGTCCTCCAACGCAGCGAGCCCGACACAAACAGAGAAATCCGCTGAAACCGCTTGGCATGACATCAAAAACACCCGCTCGGTCCGACCACAAAAACACATGCTACACCCAACCCGCAACAGTTCCCACTCAACCCTGGAGTACGCCAACGGCGCACTGCTGAGAGAGACCCTAGCATTCTCAACACCTCGTGGAGATCTCTCGCGGATAGCGACGTGGCGAGAGCAACGATCAATCCCGCAGGGATGGCGAGCCCGTCCTCGCCGTGCTTGACCGTGTCGAAGTGCCGCGAGTGGGTCAGACGGGCCAGGCTGGACAGCTCCATGGACTGGGTCCTTGAGATTGGGCGTGCTGCGAACGCGACGAGAGCGGCGGGGGGGGGGGGGGGGGGGGAAA